TATTCTTAAAATAGGTGAAATTTGGGGGGCCTTATGATTTTGCGATTTTTAAAAAACCCTTTTAAAAACAAATGACAGCCATTCGAAGAAGAAGGGTCTTAGAAGTGTCTTCTTAGATAGAAGGGTCTTCTTTTTCGAATGGCCGTCATTTGTTTTTAAAAGGGTTTTTTAAAAATTGCAAAATCATAAGGCCCCCCAAATTTCACCTATTTTAAGAATATTTTTTATTTTTTGTTTCAGATCACTTGGCAGGGCCGTAGAGTGTGCAGCGCACATTGCTTATCGCCGCGCACGGCTTTATTCAGTGAGGGATGGAGCTGCCTTTTTGATTTTTCTTTTTTTGGAAAAAATTTTATTTATATTTTCAAACATGTACTAATAAATGCAATAAAAAGTTTTTTCAAAAAACATTTACGTTCACTCAAAAAAAAAATCATGAAGTTACGTTAATTTTCGGGCTTTTTGACTAGAACCTCCCCTTAATATGCGGTATAGATGGTTTTACAAATATAAGTATGAGTATAAATTAATATATTATACTTACATTTCCAATCCTCCCAATTCTCCGACACTGAATCCTTAACAGGTGATTCTATCAAAAAGGATTCATCACCGCATCTTTTACTCTTATAATAGTGGCAATGAGACACATAATTTCCCAATGAGATCTGACATGTACTAATTTGTGTTCCTGATAAAACTAATTTATTATTCTCATAAGTAATGTCAATAAAACCCTTTTGCAAATTCAAATGTCTCTGACAAGTATTGGTACGCGTCAGCACGTTGCGGTAACCGAGTTCACGATTGCAAAGTAAATGTGGAACTGATGAACAACGACGGTTAGACATCTTTGCGCAGACTGATGAAAAGATTCTCATTGACATTTATATACTTAAAAAAAAATGCAGCGTTTGCACTTATGCAGCTGCATTTAAAAATGCAGCGTTTGCAAACATGCAGCTGCAACATTTTTGCAAAAATGACACGTACGGTGATGAAATCATTAGTGTAATTCAATATTTAAAAAATGCAACGTTTGCAAATATGCAGTTACTAAGAAAGAATTTCGCACAATACACATTTTTAGACATATACGGTGATGAAATCATTAGTGTAATTCGATATTTAAAAATGCAACGTTCGCAAGTTCTGTTTAAGATTTTATGCAAAAAGACACGTCCGGTGATGACAGCAGTAATGTAATTTGATACAAATGCGACGTTGCCAAATTGCACAGTTAAGAGATGCATTGTTGCCAAATAGATTGATATAAAACGCAAAGATTTAGACGCATCGTGTCATTAGTCAATCAAGCGACATGGAGCGAGATTTGATACAGCAAGCTAACCAGCTTAGTACCAGAGAAGAGTACATACATCGCGTGGGAACAGCGATGCGACGAATTCATCGAATCTCTGGAAGAACAGAGTCGGATTAAACGCCCGCGATTATCGATCGGTAATAAACAATCAGTGATCGCACGTATCGCGCGGCTTGAGAGTTTGAAGGATTCAGTGCGCGGACGATTCGTGTACGTGGGCGCCGGACATGGACTCCGATGGCGCGAGATCGAAACGGCGTTCGAAAGCCGTATTCTAACGGGCGCGGTGATAAACTCTAATCACATCGACCCTCGCCGATTCCTCGAAGACGCGAGTGAAATTGTGCTCGAGCGTGTGCAGTGTGTTTTACAGAGATATGACTCTATAAAGATAAATACTGTGTTTGACGGTGAATTCATGGCGGGTGACGAACGCGCGAACAAGAGCATCGCAACCAGGAACTATGAAATATATCGATGCACCGATCAGCGCGAGTGATACGTGTCGCGCGTCGTCGAGCCAATCCTAGCATCGCTCGAAGAGTTTCAAGAACGTGATAGTGGATGGGCACTATCGCGTATACTAAATTTAACGGTGAACGCGAATAAACTGAATCCTCTGCGCGCGGGATGTCGCATTAAACTCCCGGAGGAAATTAAAAATAAGAAAGCGGTAAACAACGTGCGTTCGATAGACAATGCTTGTTTCGCATGGTCGGTCGTTGCCGCTCTACATCCCGCAGAAAGTCATACATATCGAACATCATCATATCCGCATTACTCATTGGTACTAAATCTTACGAGAATTGAATTCCCGATGACGTTGAGTCAAATTAAAAAATTTGAAAATCTCAACGACATTACCATCAACGTTTACGCCATCGAGGAAAGGATCGTACCGATACTGTCAAGGAGTTAATACTCTTGCTAATTTGTTTTTATTTTTCAGACTTTATAATATGTAAGCATTTGATTTGAATTGCTAGAAATTCATAGATAGTTGGAATTGAGACGTCAAGGGCGCTAACCGTCGAGCGTACTGGAAAGAACTAGATTGTAGAGGGCGTAGAGCCAGGGAGAATGTCGCCTCGATCGACGAGAGGAGAATGAGTAGTAGGACAAAGTTTGTTGCACCGAACGGACAACTTTTTGTACGCGAGCATATTTCGCAATAAATTGAGTTTCAACACATCATTGAACCAGTTTACTCAGTTGAGGTCACAAATCCTTAACAAAATGGTCCTTCGAGCCGGATGTTGTGTTAGATCACAGGAATAATAGAGGCAAAAAGGCAATTGTAAGAGCAAGCGGTGACCGTTGCTACACGAAAGGATCGTTCTAGAAGCCATTTCCCAATAAACACATGATGGTATATTATACGTTGAAATCAAGTATTTACCATAGGTCTAAACGTAGTAGATTCAACGTATATCAGTTCCGTATAATTTTAGTTGTGATGTCCGGCTGATAAACGTTGTCATAAACGATATATGTTCGTTTTTTTGATGTTATTAACATCCAGTTTTTAAACGTTGTTCACATCCGATTTTTAAACGTTGTCCTCATTTGATTTTTTTAACGGTATTCATATCCGGTTTTTATACGTTATTTCTCTCTGTTTTTTAAACGTTATTTTCATCATCTTCACCTAGTCACATTGAACATTTATTATAAGCATATTTTAATATTAAAATATTATTAACGAAAAAAAGTGGTAATAAAGAGGCGATGGAAGTCAAAATTTTTTTTTAATTTTTAAATAAAATTCGTTTTTTTAAATTTTTATTTTTATGTAGACTTATATATAATAGTTCTATATGCAATTTATGAATTACAAGTACGTATAGGATATTTTATAATTTTTGAAAACGCATACGGATATCGATGGGATTCGAACCTAAGACCTTTGAGGTGGTAGCCTAACACGCTAACGCTGAGCTATAATCGCACGCTGTTTGAATAGTTTCGAAAATGATTGTTAAATCAAACATACGATGGTGGTATATTAAACGTGAATTATACGTAAAATATGGTATAAGTATATCATTAGTATATCAGATAAACGTTTAAATTTGTACCGTTTTTATAGCATCATTTAATATACGATAATCATATCCGTTTTTATTAGGTTTGCATAATACTGATTTTATACGTTAAAAAACGGATAAAAGCATTTAATTTGAAGGGTGTTTCTACGTTTATTTATATAATCGGACAAACATTTATTTAAAACGTATATAATTTATGAAAGAATTTATTATATAAATTTATTATATAAATGTTTAGAAAATATAGTATTGTACAAACGTAATATGCCATCATATGTGTTTATTGGGTTTGACTTTAATTTAATTATTTTATGGATTTTTATCAAAACTAATATTAGTTTTGATCATCGGTATATTAAACGTTCATTATACACGTATTATAAGTGTATAAAAGTGGTATAAGCGTATATACCATATACTGTTTTTTAACATGTAAAATCAATTTTGTATTATGCAAACGTAATAAAAACGAATATGATTATCGTATATTATATGATGTTTATTGTTAAAAATTAAAACTATAATTAATATTTTTTAATATATGTGAAATTTCGCCTTAGATTTTATATTTAAACTAGTTATTAGCATTGATAATGACCCGATCGATGTCGAAACGTCTGTTAATGTTAATTTAAGTATATCGTTTGTTTTCTTGATTTTATGTCTTAATAATTTTATTTTCGGTTCGTTGCCCGTTATTTTGTCTTTGTTTTAATAATTAATATTATTATTATATCACAATTAAATTGTGTCACATTAGTTTTCATAAGAATCCATAAAATAATTAAATTAAAATTAAACCCAATAAACACATAATGATATATTAAACGTTCATTATACGTAAATATATAAAAATGGTATAAGTGTACCATATATACTTAAGATAAACGTTTAAATTTTTATCATTTTTATACCTTCGTATAATATACGATAATCATATTCGTTTTTATTACGTTTGCATAAGACAAAACTAATTTTATTCGTTAAAAAAACAATACATGGAAAAAAGGATTTAATTTTAAGGGTGTTGAAAACGTTTATTAGTTGTATAATATTGTAGTCGTAAAAACGTATATGTAAAATATTTGTACGAAAATTTATTGACGTTTTAAAGACGTATATTAAACCGTTTGTACAATACCGTATTTCCTAAACATTTATAAATAAGAGTTCTTTCATAAATTATATACATTTTAAATAAACGTTTATCCGACCTATATAAATAAACGTAGAAACACCCTTCAAATTAAACGCGTTTGTCCATATACTGTTTTTTAACGTATAAAATCAGTATTGTATTATGCAAACGTAATAAAAACGGATATGATTATCGTATATTAAATGATGCTATAAAAACGGTACAAATTTAAACGTTTATCTGATATACAAATAATATACTTATACCATTTTTATACCTACTTTACGTATAATGTACGTTTAATATACCATCATGTGTTTATTGGGTTTAGACGAAATCAAGAACATTTTTGAAACATATTGGTAGTCGCGCAGGCGGCAGCAAATAAACAGGCATTCAAAGGCACGTAAGTGAGCTTCCTTTATCCTAACCTCAATTCTTTTTCTTTTCCTTACATTGTAATAGCAAACGTTGGCAGTTGCTACACAAAATGGCTGAATACAAAAGCTTAAGGATTAAGCGAGGTCAGTTTAAGAGTCAATTAACGCGATTCAGTAATTTTCTTGAGTGTAGAGAAGCCGATGATTATGAAATTTCTGACAGACTTGAAAGGCTAAAAGAAGTCTGGGATAAGTTTCATAACCTTCAATATGCCATAAAGGAGGTACGTAAACAGGGGCTTTCAGAAGAAAAAGATCAGGATCAATTAGAGCGAATAGAACGAGAAGAAAACGATGAAGACACAGAATTCGAAGACAATTATTTTAAGCTAGTGTCAATAGCTAAAAGAAGATTAGCACAAGTAAATCCTGTAAATGAATCTGCGACAGTGGCAGCAGCAGGAAGGACCCTGACAGTGAAATCCAGTGTAAAATTACCAACGATCACATTGCCAACGTTCAATGGGCAATATAGTCAGTGGATGCAGTTCAAGGACTCGTTTCTTTCATTAATAGACAGAGACACAACGCTATCAGCAGTTCAGAAGTTACAATATCTTCGAGGCACGCTGAAGGATGAAGCATTACAATTCATCGAAGGATTGGAAACCACGGCTGAGAATTATCGTACAGCGTGGGAGTTGTTGAACAATCATTACGAGAATCGAAGACTTATCATTAATAAACATTTGAAGGAACTTTTTGAAACTATGCCAATAGTTAAATGTAACAAGCAAAGCATAAGGCAATTTGTAAATCACGTAAGATCGCACATTAAAGCATTAGCTACGTTGAAACTGCCCGTAGACAAATGGGATGCAGTCTTAGTATTTGTAGCGGCAAATAAGTTGGATTATCACACGCACAAAGAGTGGGAAACGCATATTACTACCAAAGGGCAGGACGAACTGCCAAAAATTGATGAGCTGCTTGAATTCCTAACAGGAAGATACCATATGCTTGAAATGATAGAAAAGGAAAAATCGGGAGCTGAGGCACGTAAACACAATGAGAAAAAGCAAGATAAATCGTTGTCATTAGCTTCTACAAGTAACAATGAATGTGATTATTGTAAAGGTCATCACCGCATATTTAACTGTGAAAAGCTATTGAAGTTACAAGTACCATCACGCATTAACGAAATAAAGCAATTGAAACTTTGTTTGAACTGTCTGCGGAAAGGGCATTGGAGTAAAGAATGTAAATCGTCAGGCTGTAAGGTTTGCCAAGGCAAGCATAATTCTCTTCTCCATATAGAAAATCAGAAAGAAAACAAAAATCCCGATGAAGTGAATAAAGACAATCCAAGCAACATAGTATCCACGTATTGTGCAAAAAATTCGCAGCATGTATTGTTGTCTACAGCGCAAGTATATATTTTTGATACCAATAGAAGGCGACATCTTTGTAGAGCGCTTCTAGATCCTGGATCGCAATCCAATTTAATTACGAAGGCTTTAGCAGATAAATTACATTTAACAAGTAAATCTGTAAACGTTCCAGTTAGCTGTATCAATCAAACTAAAACATATGTGAGGCAATCGGTAATTATTGAAGTACAAGCCAAATATAACAAAACAAGATTTAAGCTAAATTGTTTAGTGTTGCCTAGAATCACAGAGCAAATACCTCAGATGCCTATTGATATTTCTACATTACAGATACCAAATCATTTGAAGCTAGCGGACGAAAACTTCCACAATCCGGGAGCCATTGATTTATTAATCGGAGCCGGAATGTTTTGGCAAATTATTAAGGACGAGCATTTAAAGTTACTTCCTGGACAACCACGGATACAGAACACTTCTTTAGGTTGGATATTAGGAGGAAATGTTTTGGAGTCGTCAAGCGACCATAACATGATGTGCAATCTACTAACGAATGATGAACTAAGCCGGCAGCTGGAGAAATTCTGGCAATCCGAAGAAATTATCGAACAAAGGCATTACTCACCAGAGGAGCAAAAGTGTGAGGAGCACTTTAAAGCAACAATGCAAAGGAATTTAGAAGGTAGGTTCGTAGTAGGACTGCCTCAGCGAGAAGATATAAAGCTTGCAGATTCGTATAATACAGCGCTGAAGAGGCTATACGCTTTGGAAAACAGATTTGCACGACAACCAGAATTGAAGTTGGAATATGTTCAATTTATGGAAAAATATGAACTATTGGGGCATATGTCACGTGTTGAAGAAAATGCATCGAAGAGTCCGCAAGATATTTACTACATACCACATCATCCTATAATAAAAAGCGGTGCATTAACTAGCAAGTTGAGAGTAGTGTTCGACGCATCAGCTCTATCAGAATCAGGAGTGTCGCTGAACAATAAACTATTAGTCGGGCCTCAGTTGCAAGATACATTATGTGACTTATTACTAAAGTTTAGAATGCATCAATATGTATTAACTGCTGATTTAGAAATGATGTATCGACAAATCCTTGTGAGAAAACAGGATAGAGATCTTCAAAGAATTTTATGGAGGTCAAATAGCAACGAAGAAATTCAGATATTTCGTTTGAATACGTTAACATATGGTACTTCTTCAGCACCCTTTCTAGCGGTCAGATGTTTGAAGGAGTTAGCAATTCAAGAGGCTGACACTCATCCTACAGCTGCAAAGGTGTTACAATGTGATTTTTATATGGATGACCTGCTCACGGGGACGCACACTGTAGAGGAGGCATGTCGATTGCAACAAGAATTAATGGAATTGCTCCAGCGAGGAAAATTCAATCTGCGCAAATGGAGAAGCAACAACACGAAAGTATTTAGCTCGTTGGCTCAAGATAGCGAGCAAGATGAATTTTTGTTTTTAAACAAACATGAAGTCTTGAAAACTCTTGGACTGTATTGGAATTCAGAAACGGATTATTTACAGTATGAAGTGCAAATAAAGGAAGAACTATCAGCTACAAAAAGACAAGTGCTGTCTTCAAGCTCAAAAATATTTGACCCTCTGGGGCTTATCGAGCCAGTGTTAGTAGTAGCGAAGCAACTGATGCAACAATTGTGGAAGGAGAAGCTAAGTTGGGATGAAGAATTGCCACCCCATTTACAAGATAGTTGGTCAAAATATTGCAGATCTATAAATTCGACTCAAGCTTTGTTAGTATCACGCAATTGTAATCCAGGCAATCCGTCACTATTGGTGGATCTGCACGTTTTCTGTGATGCGTCGGAGAGAGCTTATGGAGCATGTATTTATGCGTGTAGTCTAAATCAAGATGGGCGCGCTACTGCACATTTGATGTGCTCCAAATCACGGATAGCTCCATTAAAACCACTCACATTGCCACGTTTAGAGTTAAATGCTGCACATTTGGCAGCCAAGCTGTTTAGCAGTGTAAATCATGTATTGTCTAACAAAATTAACAATGTAAGTTTTTGGACTGACTCTACAATTACGTTAAGTTGGATTAAAACATCTCCTCACAAATTGAAAACATATGTGGCTAACCGAGTCGCTGAGATTCAGAGACACACTTCGAGTAAAGATTGGGATCATGTACCCTCAAGTGACAATCCCGCGGATTTGTTATCTAGAGGCACGACTACTGAAGATTTAAAGGATAATTATCTATGGTGGCATGGACCTAGGTGGTTAGTGCAGCCTTCTGAAAGGCCGATACAAGAAGTTTTTAGTTTAGAAGACATGCCGGAAGCTAAACGGGAAACTAAACGGGAGATTACATTAGCAGCTATCCCGGATATGCACGATATTTTGTATAAATTTTCATCTATCATTAAGCTAAAAAGAGTCATAGCGTATTGTATGCGATTTACAAATAATCTAAGAGGTATTAAAAGGAAAGGATCTTTATCGATTGAAGAATTGGAGCAAGCTAACATTATCATAATCAGACTAGTGCAACGTCAAGTATACGAAAGAGAGATAGAAGATTTACAAAATGGAAGAGAAGTTCATCGCAAGAGCAAGTTGCTTACATTACGTCCTTTCCTTGATGAACAAGGATTGATCCGTGTGGGAGGTAGAATACGTCATGCGGAGATCAACATAGATCAAAAGCATCCATATATATTACCGTCGAAAAATCATATAACAACTCTTATGCTCCGCGAAGAACACAAAAGGTTATTACACTGTGGGCCAGAACAACTTTTGGCATCTATTAGACTACGATATTGGCCATTATCAGGTAGACACGAAGCGCGTAAGGTCACTAGACAGTGTCTAGAATGTTTTCGACTCAAACCTAAACCCTTAGAGGCCGTTATGTCTGATCTACCTAAAGATCGATTACAGGGAACTGTAAGGCCATTCGCTGTTAGTGGCGTAGATTACGCTGGGCCTATCCAAATTCGAGAGGGAAGAAGAAGAGGTAGGATACCTCTAATGAAAGGATACATTGCATTGTTTGTCTGTTTTCATACAAAGGCAGTTCATTTAGAAGCCGACACGGATCTAACTACAGAAGCATTTTTGGCAGCATTACGGAGATTTACTTCGAGAAGAGGTCTCTGCACTACATTATACTCAGATAATGCAACGAACTTTGTTGGAGCAGCAAGAGAGTTAAAAGAGGTCTATCAATTTATAAAAGATCAAACAGATGAAATTGAAGCACGATTAGCTTTAAAGAGCATTCACTGGAAGTTTATACCCCCCAGATCTCCAAATTTCGGAGGATTATGGGAGGCTGCCGTTAAGGTAACAAAAAGACACTTATATACTGTCACGCGAAACCTCGTAATGACTTATGAAGAGTTCAGCACACTACTTACAGAAATAGAAGCAGTTTTGAATTCACGTCCTTTAATTCCCTTATCCTCTCATCCTGACGATTTGGCTGTGTTGACGCCAGCTCACTTTTTGCTCGGAGAGTCACAAGCCGAGCCTGCTCAGAGAAATTTTTTAAACATGCCTGTTAATACTTTATCACGTTGGCAACATCAGCAACGAGTTCGTCAACATTTTTGGTCACGTTGGCAAAAAGAGTATTTGCATCAATTGCAAATGCGTACCAAATGGTACCATGATTCAACCGCTTTAGCAGTAGGTACAATAGTTTTGTTGATGGATGAACAAAACCCTCCTAGCAAATGGACTTTGGGCCGTGTAACGGAACTGCATAAGGGAAACGATAACGTGGCCAGAGTAGCCACTGTCAAAACAGCACATGGAATATATAAACGACCTATAAGAAAACTGTGCGCTCTCCCATTGAACAATGAAATTAATGAGGAGACCCAAGGCCAACGGGATTCTAAGTTGGAAAATGCTATTTAATCAGTAATCGATTTTAAGTATCTGATATTATTAATTATCTTATATTATTCTTACATTTACTTTGTAGCAACAAACCCAAAATTTCTTCCAGGATCACAAAAATTTAATTTTGAAAATTGGCCTTTCAAGGTGGGCCGGGATGTCAAGGAATTAATACTCTTGCTAATTTGTTTTTATTTTTCAGACTTTATAATATGTAAGCATTTGATTTGAATTGCTAGAAATTCATAGATAGTTGGAATTGAGACGTCAAGGGCGCTAACCGTCGAGCGTACTGGAAAGAACTAGATTGTAGAGGGCGTAGAGCCAGGGAGAATGTCGCCTCGATCGACGAGAGGAGAATGAGTAGTAGGACAAAGTTTGTTGCACCGAACGGACAACTTTTTGTACACGAGCATATTTCGCAATAAATTGAGTTTCAACACATCATTGAACCAGTTTACTCAGTTGAGGTCACAAATCCTTAACAGATACGACTCGCTGACCAAAAGAGGAGCAAGCATGTAAACCTCTTGTACGTGGAGGATGACATCGCGGGTCACTTTGTGCTGATTAAAGACCTGTCACGCCTCGTCAGTTCACAAATCAGCAAAAAGGAGCATAAGAAATACTTCTGCGATAGGTATGTATAATTAATAATAATAATTAATAATAATAATAATGATAGTAATAATAACAGTAACAATAGTAATAATAATAAAATAATAAAATAATAAAACAATTTTTTTCAGATGTCTCCACTATTTTAGCTCGAGCGCTAAATTGGAGCTCCACAGCGTCGACTGCGGAAAATTAAACGATTGTGCAATAAGGCTACCGAGCGAGGACGACAAGTGGCTCGAGTTTAAGAAACATTGCAGAAAGGAGCGTGTCCCGTTCGTGGTCTATGCAGACTTGGAGTGCGCACTGGAAAAGATGGATAAAGAACCAGCATCATCTACGTACACGTACCAACATCACAACGTCTTCAGTATCGGGTATTACGTGTACTGTTCTTATGACGATTCACTATCAGGCTATCGTTTTCGCCGCGATAATAACTGCATATCGTGGTTCGCGGATGAATTGAAAAATTTAACACATAGTGTGCAATCTGTAATTTCGACCAATGTTCCCATGGATTTCACACAAGATGACTGGCGAAAATTCAACAACACCACGCACTGTCATGTATGCGAGAAACCGTTCACGAAAGACGATACGCGAGCACGCGATTACTGCCATCTCACCGGGCGATACAGAGGTCCCGCGCACTCAAATTGTAATTTAAATTATAAAGATTCGCGATGCATACCCGTAGTCTTTCATAATTTAACCGGTTACGACGCTCATTTCATTATAAAGGAAATTGCTACTGCCTATAAAGGACACGTTGATCTCTTACCGATAACTAAAGAAAAATATATCTCTTTTATTAAACACGTTGATGATACTATAGATGATAAAAAGAATTGTATACAATTACGTTTCATAGATTCATATAGATTTCTCGCTTCTAGTTTAGACAAATTATCATCTTTTCTCAGCAAAGATAAGCTGCGGGTACTGCGACGCGAATTTTCCCATTTATCGGAAGAAAATTTTAATCTTTTAACTCGAAAAGGTATCTTTCCGTACGAGTACATTGATTGCAGTGAAAAATTGAATGAATCATCCTTGCCGCCTCGCGAGTCATTCTATAGTTCATTGACAGACGGCACGGTATCCGAGAGCGATTACGCGCACGCTGTCAACGTGTGGCAGCGGTTCTCCATCCAAACGCTCGGTGAATATAGCGACCTGTATCTAAAAACGGATGTATTGTTGTTCGCCGACGTCTTTGAACATTTCCGCGACAGTTGCGTCGCGAGTTACGGGCTTGACCCCGCATACTATTACACGTTGCCTGGCTTCACATGGGATGCCATGTTGAAGCATACAGGTGTAAAATTTGAATTGCTTACAGACATTGACATGGTCATGTTTGTCGAGCGCGGTATACGCGGTGGTCTGAGCCAGTGCTCAAATAGGTATGCGCGAGCCAACAACAAATACATGCCGCCGTATGACCCATCGAAACCATCATCGTATCTAATGTACTATGACGTCAACAATCTCTACGGCTGGGCAATGTGTCAACCATTGCCATACGCTGATTTTCGATGGGTCGATGACGTGCAAAATTTTGACTTTTCGACCATCCCGCTAGATTCGCCTACAGGCTATATTCTCGAGGTTGACACTGACAATGAGTACTCGCAACATCTCCACGACGCGCACACTGACCTACCGTTCTGTCCAATGCGAGAGAAACCACCCGGCAAGCGCGATGACAAGCTCCTCGCGACGTTATGCGATAAGCAGCGTTACGTGATTCATTATCGCAATCTGCAGCAGTGTACTCGTCACGGCCTCCGTATCGCAAAGATTCACCGTATACTGCAATTCACGCAATCTCCATGGCTTCGCGATTACATAGAATTAAATACAAAATTTAGAACTTTGGCAAAAAACGATTTTGAGAAAAATTTATACAAACTTATGAATAACGCGGTATTTGGTAAAACCATGGAGAATGTGCGCGATCGCGTTGATGTAAAATTATTAACCAAATGGGAAGGCAGACACGGTGCTGAAGCAATGATCGCGAAACCCAACTTTCACAGTCGTAGCGTCTTCTCAGAGAATCTGGTCGCGATAGAGCTGCGTAAACTCGAGGTGAAGTTCGACAAACCGATATACGTGGGTATGTGCATCCTCGATATATCGAAAACGTGTTTGTACGAGTTTCACCACGAATATATGGCACCGCTGTTTCACGATAAATGCAAAATTATGTATACTGATACTGATAGTCTCATATACCATGTAGAATGTGACGACGTATATGAAATTATAAAACGCGATATCGATAGATTTGATACGAGCGATTACTCTATTGACAACCCGTACAGTATTCCGCTCGCGAATAAAAAAGTTCCTGGTCTTATGAAAGACGAAAACAACGGTGCCATCATGACTGAATTCGTCGGGCTTAGAGCGAAAATGTACGCTTTACGTGTACAAGGAAAGAAGGATACGAAAAAGGCAAAGGGTGTCAAAAGCAATGTTGTGGCAAGATCCATAACGTTTGATGATTACACGAAATGCTTGAATGATGTTATTGAAATGATGCGCAGACAATCGTGCATCAGATCGAAATTACACGAGGTGTATACAATATCGGAAACAAAAATCGCTCTAAGTCCACACGATGATAAGCGGTATATCGTATCAGGTTCTACCAACACGCTCCCGTGGGAACATTACCGGTGTAAATAAAACATATATTGTATGAATAATAATAATATTTAATATGTATAACATGTATAAAATGTATAGGGTAAACCCGGTATATACGCCGCGTCAGGAAATACGCCGCAGAAGTCAGAAAAAATAGAAGGAGTGGGGATAAGTTTCCGTCAATTACTTTGTTACATGCCTCTATGGTATATTAGTATTATGTTATGATTTCAGTTCTTTACTGTTAATATTAATGAAATTATTGCGAGTTAAATCGATTTTTTACTGTAATAAGTAGTGCCATCATAATTTATAATCTACATAAAATGATTATTATAGAGCGTGTAAAAGACTAAGGGCCAATTTCACCAACGTCGGTTGAGCTAACCGACGGTTAAAGTGTCAACCGTGATTGGTTCATTCTGGTCAAAGGCAAATACGATTGGATGATTCCATTGGAATTAACCGTCGGTTAGCTTAACCGACGTTGGTGAAATTGGCTCTTAGTGGTTATTTTGCAATACATATGTGTAGAGGAATAGTAAAGCATGTTGTATAGCAAAATACAAGTGCTTTGCTCCTGTATTGTTTGTTTAATTAATTGTCATATATATCCCATCTATTTAGGATATACGGCATTTTTAGCGAGCGGGATGCTGTGCCGCAACACAGACGCTCTATTTAAGAAGTTTTTGTTAATTCTAACAATTATATATTGCATTAATGCATAAATGTTGATAAATCTTAAACGTTTAAAGATTAATTTCAAAGATTTGAAGCTATTTAAAAAAATTGTATTAAGTATTGCTATTTGTATTCCAATTTTCATTCTGAACAATAAAAATTGTCATATATTACTAAACAATGCAAGTTACGTCGTCATTTTACATCTTATTTATAGATTATTTGTGATTTTCTTATGAATTATATA